TCTCTCTCTATATATATATTTATATGTGTGTGTGTGTGTGTGTATACACACACATACACACACAGAGTCATGTTTTCATATATATATGGAGAGAGAGAGAGAGAGAAGTGGCTTCCAATCTTTCTCTTGGCAGTTATACATACAATTCTAATCAAACCTCTCTAAGATTTCATCATAATCCCCTTCTTTCTTTAACCTATTTTTTTCTAATTATCAAAACCATAAGTCACAAAATCATTTTCCTTCTTATGCAAAAAGTGCATAAGGGGTTTCCAGTCACTGATGAATGTCAGTAATGACTTTTCTCTAATCAAAGAAGTCAATTTGTCCATCTCAGCAAGTTCTGTCAATTTCACCAACCAATCCTCCATGGTGGGTGATGTTGAACCTTTCTTAGCCTACTTTATCATACATTCTTTCACTTGTTCTTCTTCTGTTTCATATTTCAATAAAAGTTTATACATTTTAGCAATTACATGTTCATCATTGATACACAATTGCATTTTGCTCCATACCGTAAGTCTTTTTATTCATTTTAAATCTTTCTGATAGCTGTAAATGGGAAAACAATTGACAACTATGTCCTTCTGCCATTAGTTGCTCTCTTGATTTAATTTGGTGATTTTCCAATAATTTCCCTTGGTGATTTTCCAGTAATTCTTTGTACATTAACCATTTGCCTTTGCCTGTTGTTTCTCTTCTATAAAATGCTTCATGTGCTGAGATCCATAGAGGTCTTTTTGGGCACAGCCTGGGCTTATATCTATTCCATATTCTCAGTATGGCATGTTTAATAAAATGGTTTTTAAAATCCACATTAACTAACTATCATACCATCAGTATCCATGCCATCCAAACCTCAGGTTGTGGTCTTTTAGCTCTAAAAGTCTTTTGTTTCTCAGCAACACCCATTCTTTCATTCAAACCAAACAAGCAGCTGCAAAATACAGTTGCAAATCCAGTAAGCCCAATCCTCCTCTTTCCTTTGCATCTTGTTACACTTTATATTTAACTCATGATTTTTTCACTTGCCATACAAATTTAAATATATCTTTTTGCCATTGCAATCAATCAAAGAATGTCATCTGGTAGGACACACAAAGCAAGCCTTTTCTGTCACAGTGCCTGCCCACAGTGCCTTTTCTGTCACAGTGCCTTTTCTGTCTTCAGTGTCCTGGAGATTAGGTTGGCCCTTTTGCAAGGCTCAGAAGATGTGGTTGTGTTTCTGAGCATAGGGGTTGGATTGTCAGTTAGAGCCCATGAGATGGTTATTTTAAATGTTTGATTGGTTTTTACCTCGCCTCCCAGTTATGTATTTTATTTTGCTGTTGTTTTATGTTTTTACCTGTTGTTAGCCACCCAAAGTTAATTTATATGAACTTATAAATTATATAACTATATATTTGAACTATATATATAACTATATATTTGAACTATATAAAATTGGTCTCCTGAACAACATGGGAACCGCCATTGGTTACAACATGGCTAGAAGGGACAGAAACAGAATAGCAGGACAAAACAGGGGCGTCTGGAAGTCTGAGTCATTGGGTGAGATCTTCTGGTTTCTTGATGATATCTGTAACTGAATGGGTAAGTAAAGCTGAATATGAGCTTCCTTGGTATTGTTGTTGGGAGATAGGACCGGTGTCAGGCCAGGGCACTCTGACTAGGATCACTGACAACTCTGGGGACCTGGCTTTTGAAGGCCCGGAGTGATGCCAGGTCATGGCTACCTGGCAATGAGAAAACCCACTGGGAACTTAATCCAGTGACTGGTTCCTGAGCTGTTATGCTAGTAGGACTGGTGGTAAGTTAGAAATGGGGTAGCTGACTTGCATGGGAGGGAAGATAGCCTGAAGTTTGCCTCCATTTATAGAGAGGGAATGGGTATGTCTCTGTGTATATGATTTCAGTGCATTAGTAGGTGTGCTTATGCCAGTAAAACTCTTTTTTTTAATCTGTGGGTAGGAATTGTAAGGGTTTGAGTGGTGATTTATAGTTGATGTTGGAGCCAGAGTGAGTGGCATTGCTGTTTCTCTAATTCTGGGATAGTTGTATTGTTGTGGAATTAGCCAGTATGACTGAGTCTGTGTGGGGGAGTTTTGACTGCACTGGTAGGAAGATAGTTATGGTCCAGTTGTGAGGGATTGAGGGAGATATGGCAGGAGGCTATTTCAGGAAAGGGGAAACCAAAAAGCTGTTGTTATTTCCACTTCCAGTTGGTGTCCTCATCCTTGGATCCTGATGGTAGGATCATCAGTGATGGTAGAATTAATCTGTTGATAATAATTGTCAAGTCTGTATGCAATAATTATTTCATCAATCCATGATTTGATGGTAGATGAGCACAAGAACTTGGTGCATATTACTGAGACCTGGTTGGGTGATGGTTAAGATGTCACTCTCTCTGAGATCTGCCCTCCTGGGTTTCAAGTCCTTCAGGAATCTTGACACCCTGGTCAGGGAGGAAGGGTGGTGTTAATCTTTAAGGTCATCCACCTATTGCATGAGACTCTGCTCCAAAGATAATGGGATGTGAATGGTGATATGTTAAATTGGGCAGTAGGGACAAGCTGGAAATTCTACTGTACTGGCTAGCCTGCTACCCAGGAGGTTCCCTCCCTGAACTGTTTGATTTGGTCTAGAGACTGGTGTTGGAGTTCCCTCATCTTTTGGTTCTGGGTGATTTCAGTTTCCAGGCTCTTAGGAGTGGTTTGAGCAGAGCTTGGGAATTCATGGCCTCCATGGCAATAATGAGCTTGTCCCAAGCAACCTGAGGCCTTTGGGGCAGTTTTGTTGAGTTCCTGGTTACCTATTGTCAATAGAAGGTGATCAGTGCTCTTGCTTCCAAGCTGCCTCTCCTGATCAGCCAATCCTGGTTGGTTCTTTGGTTTATCAAGAACATCTAGGAGATAAAGCAGCAGAAGAGATGCCTGGCATGCCAGTGAAAAAATATAAAAAGTGAATTTGACCAAGCACAGGTGTGAATTCAAGCTTGAACCTACACTGTGGAAATAAGGAAATGAAATGTTATTTATCTTCCCTTACTATATTGGCGGGTTGGTATAGAGCAACCCTGTTTAGAGTGGTCAGCTTCCTTTTAGGGAAAAGGTGTAAGTAGATCTTTGACCTGGCTGTTGTGCTAGAAGAGTTTCTCAGATTTGTAAAGTCTTGACTGTTGATGAACAGAATCCATTGTAGTGACTGAAACAGTGTCATACCTGGGATTCTTTCTAGCTTATGGAGTTTGAGGCATTAGGATGCTTTGTTTTCTGCCCCTGACCATCACCGTTGCTCCTCCTGGCTCCATTGGAAAGCCAGAAGGAATGAGAGAGATTGGATCTGGGGTGGTAATTAACACCTCACTTTGAAAGGGGTAATGCCAGCAACTTTGAAAGAGGCTATGATGTCCCACCTCTTAAAGATACCCTCCCTGGATCCATCTGCATTTGATAATTATTATCCTCTTTTTATCTTTTCCTACAATGACAGAGTACCGTAGAACAAGCAGATTATTCATTCAGGATACCTATCTGGGCATGAGGTGGAGACAGCATTGTTTGCTAGAGTGGATGATCTTTATTATAACCTGGTTTGGGGTAGTGCGTCCCTCCTGGTCCTTTTGGACTTCTCAGTGGCTTTTGACACTATTGACCATGGTATCTTTCTAGACTACTTGCATGGATTGGGATTAGAGGCATTGTTACAGTAGTTCTGCTCCTTCCTCAGCAGATGGTTCTACTCAGTGATCATGGTGCAACATCAGCCAAGTGGTTGTTCAGTTGTGGGGTGTCACAGGATTTAGTCCTTTCCCTCCTGCAGTTTAACATTTATATGAAACTGTGAGGGGAGGTCATCTGTTTGTTCAATGTATGGTATCATCAGCACACTGTACAGAGCCTTGATCCTTTGCCTGGAGATTGTGAGAGTTTGGATGGGATGAAAGGGATTGAACACAATAAAAACAGAATTGCTGTTTGTTAATTAAGGTTCCTTGGCATCTCTGGTGTCATCTTTCAATGGAGCGGCATTGCCTCTGAAGGAGGAATCCCATGACTTGGAATTCCTCCTGGTCTCACAGTTACTAGATGGGTTAATAGAAGCCTCAGGATGAGATGGCGGTGGGGGCTTGGCTTGGCTTGTGGACCTGTTGTGGCCCTACCTCACAATAACAACTCAACTCTAATCATCACCGCCTGTATTACTGCGGTCTACTACTACTGTTGGGCTACTATGTGGGACTGCCTTTCAAGTCTGCCTGGGAGCTTCAATTGGTCCAGAATGCTGCAGCCTACTTCTTGGCAAGTATTCAGCAATGAACTCGTTTCAGATGTGCCCTGGAACCTGCTCTGGGTCCCTATCAGCTTCTGAGTACAATTCAAAATGCTGTGCTTTTGATTTTTAAAATCCTATATGGCTTGGCATCAAAGTATTTAGAGGACTGCCTTCTCCAACCAATTTCAGCTTGCCCAATTCAGCTGTCTCAGACAACCAGCTTATGGTCTCCCACTTTCATAAGGTACGTGGAGGCTTGTAGCAGCTTTTTTCTGTTGGTGTGCCTACAGGTTGGAATACCTTCTTCCAGAAATGACACCCCCCCCAACACACACACACAGACACTATTGATTTTCTGTAACTTATTAAAAACTTCACTATTTTGGAGCAGCTTTGTGAGGATGAACTGATGCTATTGGTTATTGATGTGTAATTATATTTTTGATGGGTTTCTTTTATATGTATACCATGGGCATTTAATAATTTTTATACTTGTGTGTAAACTACTGGGACTCTTTGATTGTTCCAGGTAGAAGTCAAATAAATAAATAAATGTGTAAAGCCATTAAAGCAAGTAACATTAAGCAAGCCAGGGCTTAGCATGAAGGGAATCTAGTCTATATATTATGTCAGAATGTAAAATTATGGATTCTAGATTAATCCCTTCAGAGTCTCATTTCTCTCTTTCCTAAGAGAAAAGTCACTATAAGCCACAAAATGAGTGAGCATCAGATACATTTATTTCACTTTTATTGAATACAAGAACAGTGAGCACACACGCATACATCACCAAGCACTGAAAGAGGATATGACCGAGAAGGATGGGACAAAAATTGGAATGGGTGGAAGAGGCAGAAGGACAGAAGAATTAATGAACGAATGACAGCATTTCAGTTGGTTAAGGTGCTTTTCAAATTAAAAAAAAAAAGAATCTTTTTAATTCATGCAGTTGCAGGCCAGTTTTAGAATCAATTTGCGGGATTTGTTGCAAACAAGCAGTTGCATTGACCGTCCCTTTCAATGGAAAGCCCCCCTCACCCAAAGAAAGCAAAGAGTGACCAACTATATCAGATTGTAGCAGAAGGTGGAAGAAACCATGATCTTAAGAGTATGCATGGCTTCAACTTTACCACAAATAATAAATATTATATATATATTTATATAGATATCTATATATAAGCCACATCTTGCTAGGTAAACAAAAAGCTAGTTTTTGTTAATGGCTACCCATCAGACATGCTGTGGGAGGAATCCAAATCTATTTTAGCTTTCCTTTACTTGACAAGGGTTAGATTCTGATCTTCTACAAATGGGTTTTGAAGCAATTCGCTTCCAGAGGTTTTAGTGGCAGACTCACTTATTCCAAACCATATAGTATAAGCAACAGAATGTACTTTATATATACCTAATTTGTGAGCTAAATTTGTTTTGAAATTAAAAATGAAATCATTGAGTTTGGGGAGAATTTTTTTCAACATTGAGAAAAAATGTAACACCAACAAGATTCCCCTGGATTTTGTTCAGTTTTTAAAATCAGAAGAACAAGGTTTTGTTTTGCACATATTTTATGATTTTCTGTGTTCTTTCTTTGATGTTTGGGTTTTTAGGGCATTACATGTTCCAGAAGAGCAATAGGAAACAAAAATAATCCTCAAAAAAATCTAAAGGAGAAAATCACTTGGATGCATGAAAATTAGAAATGACTCTTACAGCATAAAGTTTATATCTATGCTTTCAGTGTTTAATTAGGACATTCCTACATGCCAGAAACAGATCCAATTTTAAGGAGCCATAACAACAGGCAATGGCCCAGTATCTCCTACAGTGGCAAACAATTTATGGTATAAGATACATCCACATTACTCTAATGACTATTACCATTTCCCATTTTTATTTATATTTCCAATTAGAGATAACAGATGTCCTTCTTATCCAACTGACAATATGTGGAAGGAAGCGTAGAACATTTATAAACTGATTCATTTGGATTTGTCTCATTTCTTTCTGCTTCAATTACTCTTAATGAAAAGTGGTAAAGGACAATGTCTAGGTTTCATCAATGGCAGAGCAGTTTTATTTAACAGTATCTTTACTCCTGAGCAGTATCTCCTTTCAGTAGTTTGGTTCCCCAAGCTTCACAGGTTACTGTGGATAGATAAATGCATCTTCAAGAAACCCACGTGTGGCTTATCCATGAATAAACCCTGTTCTGATATAGAATCACTGTACTTAAAGAAGGCAGAGGTGCTCGTTCAGAATGCTTTTTCCCTGATATTGTCTCCAAAGTCTAATCCTGACAAAATCAGACCATGTAAGAGGGGAGGGAGGCCTCTTCAGCTCCTTTGGTGAGCTCTCACATTCATGGATCAGAAAATGGAGCCATGTGACCAGTGGGTTTGGAACCAAACTTTCTAATTTTGAAAAACTGACATGGGATATAACAACTTTGCCACAGATAAACATTTTGCTCTGAAAGACAGCTAAATATTTAAAGGACCTGAATGATGAAGCGATTTGACCTCATTCCTTGTGGTGACCCTGTGATCCTCCTAAGCCTGGAGGATGAAGAGACACTGTTAATTGGCACATTTGAGGAACTCTAATTGGGCTGCAGTAACACTGATCCATTTTGTTGTCTTTGACTCTTTCTATATTGTTGTATGTGCCTTAGTCAACCAGTGACAATCACAATTGTGTCAACATGCTCAAGTGATCAAGTGAGAGACAACTTCCTCAGAATTCATTTCCTCTATTCTTGTTTACATGGGATATTGGCATAATCTAAGAGTCTGGTAATACATTAACCATTATCAATCAAATAATAATAGTGTAAAAATGTCATTATCACACTTAGCACTGTTTGTTTTAATATCATTCCCCACCCTCCCCAGTTATATATAATATCCATAACTTAAAAGCACATCAATATGAAATCTCTACAGGCTGCATTTTGTTCAGTGAGAAATCATATACATATCATTTTCCTTTGCTTTAAGTGAAATAAAGTCATAATTATCTTCAGCAGAAGACGACATTAGATGAGAAGAGGAAACATTTAAAAAAGGAAGGACCAATTGGGGAAAATAAAAGAATCCAGTGATGAAGCAACAAAAGTAGCATGGCGTGAAGATAAAGGATGATCACCGCACATCCCAAAGCAGAAAATAATAAACAGAAATTATACAAGTGAATGGATTTTAATTCTTTCCTACCAGGGAATCATTTTGTAATTCTGCTTGTTTTGCTTGTTGATTTCTTGCTTTGTTGCAAAGCATTTTTGCTTTTCCATTCAGTGTGCAACAAATGAATTATGTGTTCTTTAAATGTAACATGCACAATGGTGGTTTATTGTATTGTTAATATTATTATCATCATGATTTTTTTAGATCAGTTCAGTCAATTCTTCAATTTATTTGAAGAGGTGGTTGGTTTTGTTTGTTGCTGATGTTGCTGTTTTTTATTCATCTCCAGCATATAGCAGCAGTGCAAGGATGCATTTTGTTTCCTGTATATATAATATATAATATATTTGCTATTCCTTTTTATTTAATATTTTGTCTCTCAACATTATTCTTGCAGCCAGGACGTTCTATATCTCAGTGAGGAATCCAGCATAAAGGCCCCTTCTTTACTTCAAAGTTAAAATAGATGCCAACTTCTAGAAACACAAAGGTCAAGATTCCTATACAAGGAGAAGGAAAGTAAGCACATAAATCAATAAATATAATGCCTATCCCTTTTTAATCAATGTAATAAGCATGTTTGACTTTTGCAATTTAATATTCTATGACAGCTTTAACTATTTTAACAAGGCTATATATATATATATATCAAGTATGAAATTTTTGCATATTGCAGAGGATTCTGGGATCTATTTTGGGATGTTCTCTCCATTAGTACAGAGCACCATTCAGCCTAATTGCTTTACTGTGTGATACACATAGAAAATGTCCAACATTTGTCATATATGCGTGTTTGTGTAGGGCAATTTATCCCTAGGACCAGTCTTTCCAAGCAGAAACCTCTGGTAAAGCCTTCAAAATGCCAAGGTTCTTAGCCACTTCTCATTCTTTTGCATAAGCTCATGTAATAGACCTGATTAAAGAATATTATTGTATGGCACAGCTTACGGTAGTCAAGATAATTCTTCAAAACAAGTAGCATCATTCACATCAACTAGCCATTTTTGAGAGGTGTCGGTATTGTCTCATTAGAGGGCTGCTTGTCTTGAGAGCTACAATCTTTGTGTATCACTTACTATTTTACTGTGATTTGGTTTGTAAGGATCACATTTCTCCACACCTTCTCCACATTTATACACACCTGAGGTTTCTTGTCCTTTTCTTCTGGAGATGGGTCTGTTTCTCTATATACTACAGCTTTGGTTACCAGCATATCAGGATGCTGCAATTTTGCCTCCTTGATGGCTAAAGCCAAAGCCTATGGAAAGAAAACAATTCACATTCAATAGTATTTCACTTATGTCACTGGAGTCCAACCTCTGGCCTAGGAGCCATGAATGGTCCATTAAGCTTTCTGTGTGCTTTACCAGGCCCCTTCCTCAACTGTTGCCAATTTTTGGTAAATAACTTAAAACTTTTAAATCTGGCTAAGATGGAAGAGGAAACCAATGCATTAAGAAGTGGATGGTTTAAAAAAAAAAAAAACCTATGGGTTTTAGTCTAGGCCTACCCACTTTCTGCTTTGGCCATGCCCACATTCCTTGTAGCCCCCAGTCCATTCTACAGATCCAATCATCCCAAAATATTGTGCATATGTAGGAACAAGTGGAAATAATTTTAAAAAAGAAGTGAAGGAACACCAATCTATTTATATCTATGAATGGCAAAAATAAAGCAATATATTTGTTCACACTGATAGCTATCAATAAGCACAGCTTCACACTGCACTGCAGATTTCTAGATCACAGAGCCCTACATTTTTTTCTCTCTTTTTCATAGTATTGTGAATTAGGTCCACATACCAGAAGCATGATCTATAATAATATCTAAATTATGCAAATATGATTATACTTTCATCTCTACCACTGTATGTCTGTGTGACCAGAACTGGAACAAACTAGAGTTCTCTTAAAGTATTCACATGCACATGTGAAAGCTGGGAGGTGGATACAAGATCTACAGCCCCACCTTTTACTTTCTCTGACTTTGACATGTCGAAGCAGAAGATCTAAGAAAGTGTTGCATCTTGTTTCAGTAGCAACCCAGAATATGCAGAGAGCTGTTTATTTGCATCAAAGCAAGTTAAATACAACTCTCCTTCAGTTCTTCAAGCTAAACGTATGGACATTAGAGAGGGTAACTGGTGGGACAAGCTTTCAGATGAGTACTTATAAGGAAGGATTTGGGGACTGTAATCTTCATAACCATTCAAGTATTAAGACTGCCCTCAGATGCATGCAATAATTCTATCAGGAACTCGTGCATTCACAGGAATTCTAGGACTTGACCTGAATATACAAAATATCCTTTTTTGTTGTTGTTGTTGTTGTTGCAGTCACAGCAAACTAAATAAAACTAAAACAGTTTCTACCATGTTAAAGAGTCCAGTCATACAGATTGGCATATTGCAGGATTTCATCTCAGAGGACCGTTAGCTGCCTCTTTCTCGGGTTTCTCTTTATGTCCACCATAGTGTTTCATAATGGACTTCTCTATTCGCAGCTTTCCCTCTTCCTGCCTTCCTATCTTGAACCATAACACCTCAATAAATAAAGAGGACAAGAGTTTCTTTCAAATTCCTAACTAAAAGCTTCCATTCATACTTGGTCTTGGTCCACATCTTCATCTCCTGTTATGATGATTCGCTTTTCTATTCTGGTTTCAGAAAAGCCTCCTTTCACAGTCTGGAATAAAGAACAAATATTCAGTATGATATTGTAAATCCCATGTCTAAAACTGCTTTGTATAGTAGCTTTTGTCTTTCTGGGGTACAAAAACTGTGTAACTGATTTGACACATCATGCTGAGCTATGCTTTGCTTAATCATGATTTGTTGAAAATCAACAACTGGCTACTTCAGGCAACATGCTATGGCATAAAAACTACAACTTATTACAACTAATAAGACAGATTATGGTTTAGTGTGAAATTTATCACAATTATTCCTTTTTACAAATACAATCTTGGGAGTAAGAAGTAACATTTAACTATAGGAGAATATGTGATAATTAGATAGGTTCGATAAGCCTCTTATCTTTGCACAGAATGCATCTTTTCCCAACTCCCTGATGGGAAATGAGATGCCAGTCTGAGCACTGGAAATAATATGATATTCTGTGCTACTACACTGATCTTACCTTAGTAACGTGGGTAGTTGTGGAGGTGGAGAGGGTTTCTGCAGTGGCACCGAAAAGGCTGGTGAAGGCTTCTTTCCCAACAGCACCACTGGTAATCTACAACATGTGCAAAACATGATCCATGTCAATAGATTTCCAGTTCCTCTAAAACATAAGTCACAGGCATGGGTTTAAGATATGAACCCTGATATCCAACTTTATGACAGTTTTGAAGAGAATGTCTGTACCGCTCCAAAGAGGTCATGGTCTAAATCTTTTGAGGGGGAGTAAATTGGACCTCTTACAGTCTGATTACTTTAAATCCACTTAGTTCTGAGGAATTTGTTTTTGAAACTTTTGCAAAATCAAAAAATCATCTTAACAATATATTCAGTTTAAGCATTTCTTATTTAATCCAGGCACAATCGCAGTTTCTGAAGTCCCACAGCAGTTAGAAGTTTTGAAGCAATTACCTACATCTTTTAAGGCAGTAATTGTTCTTTACAGAAAATCAAAGGAAGCTAATAAGTTGATATTACTTATTTACATGAGCTTTGAAATACAGCTTGAATATCCTGTTCTGGTAAACCAATGGAGGGTTGCATTAAACTATGCCAATTTACCCAGTAGTTTCATGTAGGTGTTAAATAGGAGTGGAAAGAGAGAGAGAGACAAGCTGTCAGGTACCCCATGTAGAAGGGGCCTTGGATTAGACCTCACCCCCGCTACCAATACTGACTGAAACCAGCCTTAGAGGAAAGAGGACAACCACTGCAAAAACAGTGCCCCCCACTTCTAGCCCCCTAAACTGGTCCAGAAGGATACCACAATTGATGGTATCAGAAGCTGCTGAGATATACAGGAAGGCCAGGATGGACAAGCCACCCCCATCCTGGGCCTTCCAAAGATCATCCACAAGTGTGACTAGTGCTACCTCAGTGCCATAACCCAGCCTGGAAAGGATCAGGATAAAGGTCTCAGAAAAAGGTCCAGAATTACAACTTTAATGGTACCTGAATAGTAATATGTTGTTTCATGCACGCGTAATCATTCCAGGTTGTACTGTGAACGTCCATACTACAGCAATAGGTTTACGTCTTCTCAGGTCCAGCAAAGATTTATCTATTCTGCTATTTCTGTTTCAGAATTCTATTGCATATTGTACTTATGTTACTGATTTAGGAAACCAGGATAGGAAGATTCCTCAGAAAATAAGGACAATGACTTACTGGAGAGATGGAGCGAAGGTCTGCAGTGCCCTTTGTAGGCTTGGTGCCGTGATCCTGAAAAAAAAATATTTATACTGTAGCTTACATTCATGGGAATACTCAGACAAGGGAGGACAGATATCCAGAGACATCATAATTGAAACCTTAAGAAGTCTCATCCATTAATTTGTTCATGGAAATAAAAATACTTATTCTAAAGTAATCTACTGTATCCTGAAGGCCAACAGATGAGCAAAATTATCAATTGGTGGCATTAGGGCATTTAGGATAAAACCCACGACAGTTTTATCCTATTCAAAAGATTTAAGGAGTTCCCATAAATAAATAGATAGATAGATAGATAGATAGATAGATAGATAGATAGATAGATAGCATTCATTATTGTCAAACATAATCCAGTGCTTATTTTTTAATTAACATATTTATATCTTAGCCTCTGGTTTTAAAATATGGCTATCAAGAATTATAAAAAAAAGAATAAAATCATTATACACAGGGGCACCCAGTGGGGGATCAAAAAAGTCAAGATGGCAGTAATGACTGCATCATTGAAGCTCTGCCCCTGCTGTATACATGATGACATCACATGCAGATAGAGGGCTTTGATCTCAGGGTTGTGTCCACCATCTTTCCTTTTTTAAATCCTCCCTGCATATGCCCTCGTTATAAAGTATTCTAAAAAGTAAGAATAAAAATCAACCATTCAACACACTGACCACATTTGGCATAGTAGAGAAGAAGTAGAGTATTGACAAGCTAGATAGTCTATTATTAAAAAGATTGTGATCACAAACTTCCATAAATGCCCCCTGCTAACATCTGCAATGCTGATGTAGCACAATAGCAACAAGCCATAGGAAAGTAAACATACCATATAATATAGTGCTTCCTGAGCATTTTAGCAAAATAATTTGGAATCAACCATTTCCATTTAAATAAGGGGTTATGTGAGAGATGGCCAGAGTTGTCAAGCACCTAGGGTCATCTCTCACAAATATAATGCTTAATAAAGAGGTGAAGCTGATAAGTGATAAAATTTAAACAGGGACATGGGACTGGTAGAGTTTTCTTGAGGAGAGGTGCTTTTCTGTTTTCAATAACAGAGGCTTTTAGTGGGGCTTGATGGAAACAGCTGCTGAAGAAAAAAAGAAAAACAGAGAGTGCAAATAAGCCAGCCAGAGAAGAAGAAACATGAAGTAAAGAAGTAGAAAGGCCAAGGAAGCGAAGCTTCTAAATGTTCAAAAGACATCCAGGAGGCAGACAGTGGAGAGATAAAGTAAATGAGGAGGTGTTTGTGGCAGTGTGTGATGATGATTCCTGAAATCAAGAGGAGAGGAGCAGGAATGTGGTGTAAGAATGAGATGGCTGATGCAAAATACTTCCACAGCAGAGGAGAACCCAGCCTACACACTGGGATGGAAGGGAAGACTGCAGTAGCAATGATTTCCTGCCTCCCTAAAGTACAAGAGGAACACCAGCTGGGTGAGTTCAGAAAATCAGTGAGACTCTTCCTTCTGCATGAGGAGGGAAGGTGGTAAGCAGGTGTAGGCCAGAAGAACTGCTTGGGGTACAACAGCAACCATGGGGAGGAGGAGACAGGCTGGAGAAAAGGATCCTGGCTAAAAGATGCATCTGAGGGCTTGGTGGAGCTAAAAAACAGTTATTAGCAATCAAACAAACTACAGTCATAAAAGTTCCAGTCAAGATAACCTGGGAGAGGAAGGAATTGAAAAAGAGCACAGTCTTTTCATTTTTGACTCCCCCTTGTTATGCAGAATCAGCCAAGAACGGTGTGGCCACAAGCATCCAGGAGAGCTGGAGAAGGAGCAAGTGCAGGTGGTCTGAAATTGGAACTGAGATGCAGCTGAGGGGTTCCAGGAGTGCTGACAGCAAAGGCAGTGGCCAGAGAGTCCCACACTCACCCGATGTTGGGGAGGGACTAACCTGAGAACGATCTGCCGTGCTGACAAATGGCTAGGCACCAATGAGTTCCACAGGAATACTTACTGAGGTTGTTGATATGGTTTCTGTGCTGACAATGTGGGAAGGGGTTACTGTCTCTTTTCCATCAGTAGGGGTACCATCAACCTGAAAATGAAACAATAAAACAGCCAACAAAAGTAGGGTTGTTAAGTGCACATTCAATAAAGACTTGCAATCTAATTCTGTACAAATTAAGTAAAATACATTCATATAAAATATTAAGTTTACTTCAATCTAGTCTCCTATCCATATACTTGTCTTAAAACTTGATTATAGATTGAGCTTTTAGTGCCTCAGAGATGTATTTAAAAAATGGTTTTTAAAAAAACAAAAAACAAAAAAACAAATGGAGAATATGCCACCTGAATATGTAAGTTATTTTTTCCACTAGCAATTTTAGCGTGCAGCTTTTCCTATAGATGTATGAAACACGTATTTGCTTCACTTACAGCAGAATAAATGAGTGTGCAATAAAATAACATTGTAAGTTACCTGTGTAATTTCTGTTGTACTGATTCTATGTTGCACAGAGGTATCTGCTTCCACTTTTTTCACAATTTCTGATTTCAGACTGAAGGACTATCAAAGGGACAAAAAGGATGACAATCCAAATATTGTTAATTGATGCCAGAAATGGCTGTTTTGTGAACAGCCCTCTTCCTGTCCACAAACATGCATTTTTAATTCTCACTTTGTCAGATGTCATGGTTAATAAAATAATTCTTGCCTATTTGAGCTCAAGAATTCTTTTATTCCATAGCACATATTTAATAATAAAAGACTGACTGAAAGTGTATAAACCATAACATATGAGATTCCTATAAAGATTATAATCTGGAAAAATGGAATTAAAATTCAACTGGCAAGAAAGCAAAGAACTTGAATGGTTTATTGGTGAGAGAAGAATGTTTGAATCCTGTTTTTTAATATAATTCTAGATTTCCAGGGGTAATACTGTTTCCCCAGCATGTTTTCTTCCATCTTTTCTTTTGACCTCTATGTTTTAACCAGTTTGGAAAGATAATTATTTTAACAATAACAATATCTGTGTTTTTATTTAAGAGAATCAGAATAGCCAATTGCCATTTGATTCAGCTATGATTCTCATGTTATTTTTAGTTACACTATATACATAAACACTAAGCTTATTAAATACACATGTTATTTGTTGAGTTCATGCAACACAGAGAACACACAAACTCACCCAGTACAATGGAACAGCCAGGCAAATGCAGTGGGTTAAAGTGTGATGTAACTTCCTGATTAAAGGAATCACAAACACCCTCAGAGGACAAACATGCATTTAAATGTCAAAAACAACCATGCAGACAAGACAATCACATTTATGAAGGTAGAATATTTTAAAAGGCTATGCAGAAATGGGTATGTTCTTCCAAATATGAGACTGACACCTGATCAAGCGGTGCAAATGCCAAGACAGACATTACTGCAAACCAAGACATTTAGACACATCTCAGTATTATGTCTTCTTTTGTACCTCTTCTGGGCTTACATGAGAAACCTTATCTTCATCTGTGGCATCACCATCTTCCTTGGGAGCTGGTCTGTCAGATTCCTCAACGGAAATCTGACTCTCTGCTTCTCCCTCGCTCTTTTCCTTATCAAGCTCAGGGAGACTCCGTGAGAAATCTTCAAAGGCTGCGCTATGGTAGTCGCCAATGACAGTGAAGTCCACCTCAGCCTCGAGGCTGGAAGTTGAGCTGACAGTAATACTGGAGCACTTGCGCTCGATGGCCAAATGGTTGTCCTTCAGGAAGACCGAGTCTCTCTCCTGGTCCTGGTCCTCATCCCCGGTATCACTTTCAGGAGCCCTGTGCCGAGGCAGCTTAGATTTCTCCTCTGTGCCCTCCCTCAATCCCGCTCTCTGAATGAGACAAAAGGGAGGGAGGAAAGAAGCTAAGGCTCTAAGCACTGAATGGCAGATGGTAGCCATCAGAAGCAACAAAACAGAGAAAGAGAGAAAGAAAGATTGAAGAGAAGCATCAAAGAAAGGGTATCAAATACATCCCAAGAATGATCACCAAAACTTGTCTCAGCAAATTCTCTCACAGGGAGGAGACAAGGTAAAATATTTTTTAAAATTTTATTTACAGAATTGCAAGGAGGAAATAAAATAATGACTTTGAAAATATCAATCCAGATAAATGGTTGGATATTTTGTAAGGAGAGGAGGTGTGTGCAAAAGAGCAAACATTATAAGCTATTTAAAAAGTAACTCAGACACTCGCTGATTGTTAGGAGAGGGCAGAAAACAGTACAAAAGGAGGGGAAAGGAAGGAAAGAAGAAAGAGAAAAGAGAAAAAAAAGGTTTAAATGGGAAAAGGTGAAAGCTAAGTTTGATTCTTTGCACATATTGCAAGAAAAAGCAAGGACATTTGTCAATTTCACTGAGATCAGATGAATATGTTTTTTCTGGACCTGTATCATTTATACCTCACTTCAGTTTTTACAAGGGGTATCTGTCCTGAGACAACATAACATTTGGATGAAAACAGCTTGTGTTGTGAGCGCTCTTATCTCTGTGGCTGAGAAGCCATCAGAGGAAGCACGTTTTACTGTTCTCCAGGTAGGTTTTTAATCAGTGTAATTGACAAGAAAAATCAGAGCAAAAGAGATCTCTCTCTCTCAGCTCCTCTTTGAGGGCTACACATATACCTCTCAACTGCATCATAGTGGAAATGTTACTCAGTCTGGCCCAATGGCTGTTTTTCAGCATAATATTAAAATATCATAGAATTATTCATTCACAGAAAAAATCTCTCTGTTAGGTCCTGAGCCAAAAGTAATTGAAATGAACGAATAGGGCCCTACTGAAGTAAATGTTACCTTTTGTCCAGATTCTGGCATGTTCAGAGGTACGAGAAAAGATAGTTGAAACATAGATAGGAATATATTTATATATATTTATATACACACACATTAAATATATCTACATAAATAAATATATATAATTATACAGATATATATATATATATATAGCAGCTCAATAAGCAGGGAGAGGGGGTGGTGGTGCATGGCTCGCCATCACTTAGGTTGAGCTTTTACACCACAAACATAAGCAGTTAGTAAAACAGCACTGAGACCTGAGGGGCCACTGGAGGAGCAGCCTTTAAACTCTCTTCTCTCGGAGAGGCTTTTACTGATAGGCCTGACAAATCCTTTTCTTCCCAAGTTGGTTCTTGAAATTTGCTCTAGATTAGAGAAAAGGGATTAGTTGTATGGAGCAGAAAGGAGTTTGACTAGTGACTTACTGGAGCAGTGGGAAGCTCTTTGGTCAGTCAGCCAGCCACTAGCTTGTCAAGGGCAGAAAGAGGAGAGCTCACAAGCCAAGCCAGAAGGAGGATCAACATTAAAAGATGCAAGAAGGAAGAAGCTGGAAGCATGAGAATGTGGCTGCTAGGGGTGTGCATGGAGGTATGGGCAAGGTATAAAGCTCTTGGCATGTCATCCCTTTCCACCCTACCCCTGAGCAATTCCATTCATAATACTCTTTTGCCTGGTTTCAAGTTAGCAGCTGGCATCTTTAGAAGTTTTCTCACTCTCTCTCCCTCTATCTCTCTCTCACACACGCAGTAACACTTCAAAAGCTGATGAGCTGCCTGGGCCAGGAGGTTTACATTCAGCAGTTGAGCCAGGTCACACGCACATACAGAAAGGACAAGGGATGCAAGCAGCGGTTCTCAGTCAATGGCCATGTTTGAAGCCATGGCACATGATGCATAAAGACGTGTCACACAACATGCTTTATGAACTTTCCAGTGGGACAGTTCATGTGGGGAGTTACCACAGCTTCTGCCAAAGTGATTTCACAGCCAGAATCAGGAGAAGCCAGTTCAGCTTCTCTTTCTCCTCCTTGGTCTGATCCAACAGAAATATCTTCCTTCCAAGATGACAGCTGAGATGGTTCTCCCTCACTTGTTCCTTGATTCACAGCTACATGGATCATGTCTGATGTTTCTCCAGGGTCTTTTGTTTTGTCATCTGAAGGTTGCGAAGCCACTATTACTTTTGCAGAGTTGTTTTCTAAAAATATATCTTTGTGTAGTTCTGCATCTGATGGCTCTTGTGGTATCTTACTGCCAGGACAACTGTCATGGAATCCTATTGAGGCTACATGTGATTCATCAGAAATTAGCCTATACATTTCACCTTGTTCAAACATCCTAATTTTAGAAGCTACAGAGTTTTCTTTAATTGTTGCACTTCTATGCTTGAATAAATCCTTTTGGCTCTCCGTGGGTGAATCTACGTCCTTATGCTTTTGAGATGAAGCAGTAGTGCCTGTACTATGTTCTATGAGGTTGAATTGTTCCAGATTGAGTTTTTGTTTATTATTTGTAGTTTGTATCTGTTTCAGGTCCTCTTCTGTAGCATGAGGAGGTTGTGAACATTCTTTGTTCAATTCTGGTGACCCAGTCTTAACAGACTGTGTAGTGTCAAGTTCTTCTTTTAAAATAAATTGATCTTCTAATTCTGAAGATTTAGAACCAAAAGAGCCAGACTTTGATAACGTTTTATCCCTAGATGGCTGTTTCAAGCCAGAGGTTGTATCCTGGACTACTTCATTGAGATTTAAAGTTAAAATGATATCCTCTGACTTTGGGGTATTATCTTTGGTCAGCTCATCCACTTCATAGAGCTTATTTTTAGTCAAGTCCTCCCATTCTGAAATATTATTCTTAGCTAACTCTTCTAATTTTGGGAGTTCAGCCAATTCTTGGAGTTTATGTTTAGCCTTCCCATTTAATTCATGAGGGTCATTTCTACCAAACTCTTCAGCCTTGGAGGATCCATATTTAGCTGTTTCTCTCCCTTCTGATATACTGTGTGAATCTGATGGTTTATTTTTAGTTGAGTCTTCTGACAGAGTAGACTCAACTTTTGTTACCTGCTCCAGTTCACTGTAATTAGCATAGGTTGCATTTTCCATTTGTTGTTCGTTTATGGCTGGAATTTTCAATTTAATACTTTCATCTTTGGCTGATAGTTCTGAGTCAGGAACTGAGTCATCTTTGGTGGAATCTTCTGATCTGATGTATTTATTTTGGACTAATTCTTGAACTTCTGATAACTTGTCCTGAAGAGGCCATCTTGAATCATAAGTCTTATCTTGGGCTAATTTTCCTGTCTTTGCTTCTTGTGATTTATGTGGTTCTCCACCTGAAATTTCTGTAGAACAGAAAAGCTGCTGTGATGAGGAATCCATGGTGGAGTCCATACATTCTATGGCTTCCATCTGAAGAAGTATTTGAGAAGTTTCCATTTCGTCTAACTTAGTTCTTTTGCTTTGTTTTTCTGAAGTTGTTAATATCATGCTCTCTTCTCCCATGGCAGTATCAGCCTCCTTTTTTTCAGATTCTTTTTCACCTTCTTGAAGACTGCTGTTATATGTTTCATCCACTCCTTTTTCATGCTCATAAGAAAGATAAGCTGTTGCCTCTTTTGTGGGGGATCCAGATTTTAACTGAGGCACTGATAATGGGATTATAGAATCCCTTTCACAGACTTCATCTGTGGAAGAACATGTACTGTATTCCTGTTCATCTTTGATTCCATAATCATTTGACTCTATAGAAACACCTTTCACTGATATTGATGAATGAACCTCTTTTTCATTTGAATACTGCTTAATATAATGTATGCTTTTGTCATCCACAGTATCTTTCTCAGACTGCTCTGGCTGCATAATTGTTGTGCCGACTTCTGACATTCCTTCACCATATGTGGAGAGGCTGAATGGGAGGACAATTTCTCCCTCTCTCTTTTCTATAACTGGGGCAAGCCTAGTGCTCTTCTGTTTTTCTGTTTGATTTTCTTGCTTCTTTTCAAAGGCACAATTCTTTTTTTGGTCAGGAATTTCCTTGGTAGCATTATTTGTTTCATCTGTTTCTTCAGAACCCAAATAGATGATCCGTGCAGCAGCAGAAGATACTGTCTTTTCACTTAGTTTCACCTTAGTTTTAACTGAGTCAGAATCAGAGGTATCCTGAAGAACTTCCTTTTCTGATAATTTCAAAGAAGTCCTATGTTCATTTATTATAATTTTGCTTTCTTCTTTTGGAGATTCTGGATGAAAAGAGGCACATATTGGTCCTTCTTTAGATTGGATCGGGCCAGTAGGTTGCTTACTTTCACTGGAGGCTACCTCCACAGTCTTCATTTTGTCTTTCTGATCTTCTCTCTTCTCAGGTTCACAAGAAACAAATACTGCTGGCTCTGTTTTATTGCTTTTCTCTTCTCTTTCCCCAGTTGTTAGGTTTCCTGTCTCAGAAGAATTTTTTCTGTAATCTTTCTCATACTCATCATCTTCCCATAATGATTCAAAATCTTCTGGACTGGCTATCATTTTGGCTTTTCTGTGAACCTTTATTTTGCTTTCCTCATTTCCTTGTACCTCCTGCTTTGTTGCTGCCTTGGCTTCCCCTATTGCAGTGGTCTCTTTTGAGAAGTCCAAATCTGTTTGCTTTTCTGAGGCACCTGCACTTGGTTCTTCCTTCTGGGTCTTAATAATTTGTTTTAATGCTAGCTCTTCCAGCCCAGAAGTTTCTCTTTCTATAAATACCCAATGCTCAGAACCCTGCATTGTAATTGGAGCAAGAAAAATTAGCATTAAACATACATTACCTAAACAGTTGATAATTAAATAGATAACAGATCCTGACAGCATTCATGCATTATTGCTTAGGAAACAACTTAACTACATACATCTTTCCATTACCTAACTGGATGGTGATATCTTAAGGCTGAGATCAATCAAGAACTAAATTTTAACAGGTAAGTTCTCTCCTTTTTCCAGTTGTCAATATCTGAAAATGTGACGATAATTCTAACTGTATAATTTGATTACTGAAATGAACTTTAAATGACAATTTGAATTTTGATCAATTGTCACTGATATTCTGAATTAAATAATCCCAGAGTACTCTGGTAAGGTTTATGGATCCATGTTTGTAATGAGAAATGAAAATTAGTCAGGTTTTGGAAATGAACAATAGTACTTTTATAATTGCTTCAGAATCTGTTAAAGCTCCATATGGTTTCAAAGTGTTTGATTAGCTAAGAGATATGCAGGTGGTTTTGAAAGGAGGTATTTAATTACAAACATGTTTATAGGAGAGTTTTGTGATGGAATATATATGTATTTATGTATGTACTTCCAGTTGTATGGTATACCAAAAATGCTGAAAATCAATTATACTTTAATTATTTGAATATAAAAGTTCAAATGTAGTAGAGAGTCATCAATACATTCAGCACTGGTTAAACTATAACAGTTTTTTACATTGTTATTTTAATATGAATGCCAAGGCTTTTCGTATGCATATCCTAATCTCAGCTGAGGTCTTGGTTCTAGATTTGGGTCATAGTTAAGAAATCAGAGATATAGGTTAATTATATTTAAATTAAATGCCACTTAAATTAGATACTGAGTAACAGATTAACTTAAAATACAACGTTCATCTGATGTGTTTCTGGATTTCCCCAGAGAGGTTTGTTTGTACTTATCATTTTCAATACAACTGTGCACACCTACAGGAAATTATCAGATCAAGGCAAATCCCTTTAATCTACTGAGTCCAAAGCAAAATTTTAAAATGAAAGTATTTTGAAAGTTTGCACCAAAACAGCACATAAAATGAGAGGACATACTTTGCAAAATTAAAATTATAAATCGCAATTAGAGTTTCACATGATATTCTACTTCTCTGAGGAAACCTGAAGAAAGTCATCAATTTATACCAAGCAAATTCATATCCAAACCACTTCAGTTCAGAAAAAAAGCAGACTGGATGTTTAGGATTAGGAAGGCAAAATTAAGAAGTAAAAACTGCTACACAAACTTTTTTTTGTTTAAAAAAAGTAAAGTGTAGGACACAGCAATAAGAAGCCTAGAATACAGTATACCACGTGAAGCAGCAGTTCCAAGTTGCTTAAATAATAAGGATGCTGTGCAGCTATCTGATGCTTTGTGCTATCTAGACCCATCACCACTGTAACACACTCAGCTAAAATTAAGTCATCTCTGTGTAACAAAACATAAGCAAAGAGCAAATATTGATTGAACAATGGTAGAAGAGTAACAAAGAATTAGATTTTTACTGTTATATGTGCTTTGTTTTATAATGGTAACACTAGATATGCAGCAGACCATTCTTTACTAGTTAAAATTATTTTTATCTGCTTAGAAATGTTACTGATGATAATACATAAGATGAAAACTGCAATCACAGGATCTTGCAGGTAGCATCACAAAGGCCTACATTTTGCAAATCTGCCAATCATGACTCTGATATCATGTGCCATGCCGTGGTATATAACCATCAGCCTAACACGTAGATTATACCACAGTATATTACTATAAGGAAAGACAATCATGTCAACACCAGAGAAGCTCAGACTTTGTGCAGTGAAAGAATGACTAAGTTATATTGTTGTATGCCGATACATTACTACTGTATAGAAAACTCTCTTCAATTTCATTAAACTTTTTGAAAAATTAAATAAAAGAATTATTTTAAAATATCACATTTATTTCTATTATTCTGATTCCACTAAGGCTATCCTAAGTGATCATTCGTTCTAATTTAAAATATTTGGGGGAGGGGGGAGATCAACCTGGAAAAATACCTTAAATGTGTACAAATTTTACCTTTGCCAAAGCTTGGTGCTTATTATTTCATGTTAGATTTACTTCTAATATTTTCTCCTGATTCTAGTTTCTTTTGCTTCTCTAGAACAATCTTAAATAATTAGACAGAGAATAGAATGATTCCATAACCTTAAGTAACCATTTATATTTGGTTATGATACAGATAGTCCTCAACTTATGACAGCAATTGGGACCGGAATTTCTGTCACTAAGTAATGCAGTCATAAAGTGCGACCGCATCGTTTAGCAATGGCAATCTCTGCAGTCCCGGTTGCCATTGTTCACTGAATCCCATGGTAATTAGGTGAGGGGGTGTGCAAGAGGCATGGCACAGGTCGGGGAGGGCGCACAAATGGCTGGTGTGGTGTGATGGGACTCACCCCAGTGACTTATGACCTTCCCTGCCGGCTTCCCCATTGACTTTCTGGGGAAGCCAGTAGGGAAGATTGCAAATGGAGTTCATGTGAGTCCCAGTTGCCATTGTTAACCAAATCCTATAGTCGTTTGGAGAGGCAACTTCCTGCTGGCTTCCCACAACCAAAGTCAGTGGGGAAGCTGGCAGGAAGCTGTAAGTCCCAGGCCAGCAGGCAGTTAAGGGCTACTGCCGGGTGGGAGAGAGAGCAAGGGGGTGCGTGAGGGTGCAAGGATCAGGGACAGTGCATGAGGGTGCAAGGGTGTGTGTGAGAGGTGCAGAGCATGTCGGGGAGAGTGTGCGAGAGGTATGGCATAGGTCGGGGAAGGTGTGAGGATCTGCACAAGAGGTGCAGCATGGGTTGGGGAAGGTGCATGAGAGTGTGAGCAGATGCGCAAGAGGTGTGGGTCGGGGAGGGTGCACAGGGGTGTGCAAGTAGCTGGTGTGGTGCAGTGAGGGAGACTTACCCCATTGACTTTCTAGGGAAGTTGGCAGGGAAGGTTGCAAATGGTGACGTGATCGTGGGATACTGCAACCAGTTGTAATTGCAAACTGGTTGCCAAGTGCCCAGATTGCGATAACGTGACCACAGGAGTGCTGGGATGGCCGGAACTCCGAGGACAGGTTGTAACCACCATTCATTCAGCGCCATTGTAACTTTGAACGGTCGCTGAATGAATGGCTGTAGGTTGAGGACTACCTATAATTAAAAACAAACAAAGCTGATTTAGAGTAAACACAATATTTCCTGGACTAGTTACATGGATATTTCCAACATTTCAGAGTTCATCTGTGAATCTGATAAATTGTATAGCTTGATTTTTACATTTTTAAATATGCATAAGAAGCTACCCTTATAACAAAATTATGTACCAAGCTATAAAAAGATTATACAAAATATTACCTAATTTTTTAAATTCAATTTTGCTTTACATTATAGCATTTCAGATTAGGCACGGATTAGCCTATTTCTGTTCTTTACATGTTCATACAAATAATACTATTTCTGCAATTAATCTGTATAAAACCATCCCAAACATGCACATTTTATACATGGTTTTATATTACTAAATATTCACATCTATAGTTTATTTTTATTTATCAAATTTGTCACTGCCCATCTCATTGAAATGACTTTGCTACAAATACACCACAAAGAATTGCACTGCAACATCTAAAGACTGCAAAATTTGTTGGAAAGCTAAATTTTTATCCAAACATTAGTTTGATAAGTGTGGTCATGAAATTTCATACAGGAATTAATACAAACTCCTATCTCAGAACAGATATTTTATCAGGCCAAATAACTGCATTACTGAACACAGTTATTTTCTTCCATATCCCATAAAGTTTTTTTTGGGGGGGGGGACTCTACAGTTAATTAAGATGCACAGTACTAATCCTCCTTTGGTCATGTAGACAAACATGCTGAGTTATATAATTAAAGCTGTACACCTTGTTCTTGTAGTAATTGAAATTGACAGTTGTCTTGGGTGAATGTAGTTGGCTACTCCTAGTAAATTCTAATTAAATACAGCATTTATATTAGTGGTTTTAAATATAGTCTGTTGAATTATTCTTGCCCTATTTTATGTGCTAAGACACAACTATGGTTTATAAACCACAATGACCAAGTTCAGAAAATACACTAAGCTAAAAACAAACAAAGCACATTATGACATAGCACCATAATACGTGTGAACCAAGCCAATATCAATATGCTGTGAAATTTGGTAGGTACTAATTGTTTGAAGGACAGGTGTTATACCAATAACCAGTTTCTTTTGGTTTTGACTTAGTATGATTGAGAACCAGGCCACTGTAGTTTGTGAAAGAAACCATGGTCTAAAAGTCTTGATTTAGCAATGTGTGTGAACAAAGCAGATTTAATTGCTCAATTCCCCATAATTTAACTGTTTCTCATTGTTCTTTGTCCTAATGTTCTAAGGAATCCACTTCTCTGTAACCCAGCTTTTGGGGAATATCTCCACCTATGCTAGAAACCACAATCAGAACTGACAAAAGTTGTCAATTGCTTACTCTCAATTCTAAGATACGATGCAATGTTTATAATAACTGACAGGGAAGGAACTTTCATTATGCTGCTTTTAGAAGTAATTACTGGATCAGACCACAACAGCGTATTTCAAAATCTGTGTTGCAATGTATCTGCCATGCCATAATTGGCACAAGCCACTATAATTTGACAGCAGGTGAAATGACACGCTCTTCTAGCTATTCTATATTCCTATACTTCTGTTTAAGTGTAAGTGCCAAAGTTTTGATCACCTCTCTTATTTTTTATAATCTACTTGGGTTATAAGAGTGAGTGAGACAACATCTGTTTGGGAATGTAAGATTTAGCTTTCTTTTGCTGAGAGGACAATTCTATAAGAAGAGCCTTGCTGTATTGCAGTAAGGCTGTTCACTGCCTCTGCCACCAGATGTCTCAGATTGTATTTAATTGTCTGAATACACCACCATTGTGGATATACCATCACTGTGTTTGAACTTATGAAAAATAAACTGTCCAAAATGGATGTCTCCTTGAATGAAGGTAGGTCAGGATGTTTGCATGCTTGAAATATTCAAGTGTTTCTAAAGCATTTGTTATATAAATAACTCTGTATTTGGTAATGTTGGCCAAATTTGAAATAATACATTTTATTTCCATGCTCTGCAGAAGAATTTCCTTTGTTACAGAGGCTTATACATATCCACAAAGAGCTGCTCCATTCCTTGAAAGATACTGAGTAACTTTTGAAATGAAATGCAGATACCATAGCTTTTAATTGTTTCCAGAGGAATCTAAGTCAGACCATCAGTCTGCACCATCTGGCGAACGTTCTTCAGAATTCAGACAAGATGTGAGAAACTCACACCCACAACTTTTTCAAAGCAAAATACTGATCTACCCCTGCTGAATTAGGGAGCTCATCTTAGCCCAATATTCTATCACAGTAGCCAATTAGAACCTGCAGAAAGGATACTTTCGTTTCCCTGCAGTTGATATTTGAACACATGCTGCTATCAGTTATCAATTGCTGAGAAATTTGAAAAAGCAAAAAAGAGGTACTCTTGATTTGCAGAGCTCACTATGGATTCTTGTACCTCCGTTAACTGAGAACTAAACACATTACCCACATTATCTGTCACTGAAGCACATTTTTGTACAGTTTTCGATTACTGGTTGACTTTCCCCAAACACTGACCTCAAAATCATTCAGAGAGCTAAAACTTCCCATGCTGAATATAATATTTTGTAATAATTCATAACTTTTCTAGCATTCTTAATAGCTTAGATGTAGTAAGATTTTCTTGTTTCAGAGAAGTTCCAAATGAACCTGATTGAATGAACTTGGGTGGCTAAATCTGGTTGATCAATTGCCACAAACAGCACAAGCTTAAACATTTATATTCAGAAATACATCCCACTGATTTTAAAAGAGCTCAGTCGTTAGAAAGTGTGAATAGTATTGTAGCCTACAGCTATTGCTAGAAAAGGAAACAAAAAGAGAAGTAGATATAGAAAAGAGAGAGAAATTGAAAGAGTGATGATAACCTCAGGAGAAGAAACAAGGCTTTTCTGTATAAAAGATTCCATGATTAAGGCAGCTCCGTGTTCAGATGACAGATCCTCTGGAGAATCCTCTTCTGACATCTATTTCAGCAGGGGAAACCCAAGACCCCCCAGGCAAAGAGATAGAGACAGAGAAAAGAGACAAGGGAGACAGAGAAAAGAGGCAGTAAATAAAGTAAGGAGAATGTACTCTACTTCTTGAGTATTTACTCTGAGCTAATTCTTTATCTAACTTTCTGGGAAAGGATTCTTTCTTTCAACTTTCACCTCCCCTCTGACAGCAATATTAGTCATGACTGAGCTGCTGAACTCAGCTACTCCATTTTCTCTTTCTTTCTGATGGAACACTTGGACACAAAACTACCCAGCCAACCAGAGTTTTAAACTTAGTTTCATATCAATATTATTCTTGCCAACTCTTTGCTCTACTTTTTGTGTAAGAATGCTCTTCAGTCTAAGAGTTGAATTAGGATCCACAGGATTAACCATAATAGTTGAGTTATATGTCTGCCAAGTTCACATACAAAGCACCTCGCCTGCTGATGCAAGTCTATCTGCTCCAGGCTGAGTCCCAGCCTTTCATTTGGAAAAGTGAGTCATGAAATGAAACCTGGGGAAGTAAAAGGACTTGGTCCTGCTACGTTTCTTTGAAGACAAAAAGTCAGGCAAATGCATCAATGACTTGTGTAGCTACCTTCATCAGTTAGGATTTTGTGCTTCCAACTTTTCTGAGCTCAAATTTAATCAATGTTTCACTGAAATAATCATCAACACCTTGCCCATTACTGGATTAGTAGGGATTACAAAATGTTTGATGTCAGAGGCATATCTATTCATGAAGATCGAGAAACACCCAAGAACAGAGGTCATCCTTCTGTAGTACAAACCAAGGTCAGTAGTTTATAAAATATTAATTTTGTTCACTGAAACTACAAGATATTTTCATTTAATAGCTAAGTGTTTCATAAATATGTAATTTTCTAAAAAGATATACTGCACTTTTAAGTAACAGATATAAAGATTATTTCAGGCTGTGATGAAGGAAAGGGTGGACAGTAGAATCTTCTTCCAGCTTTCTTAATTTAATCGGAATATCCCATAATACAGCAAGCCTGTACCTGAACGGCTTCGGTTACAATAAACAGAACTCTTGCAACAGAGGAACGCTGTCTTCAGTATAACTGCCAAAATCATAGAGTTCATGCCAAAATCTTGAGGGCCAACTACCATGTGTTTATGACTATATTCCATAATGCTATATGCACTGGGATTTTTTTTTATCAAGGTTAGGATGCAAATGGAAGTAAATATATATTCTATACTAAAAAGTTCCTCAGAAATTCTTTGCACTCAATTTGAGGTTTGCTGTTGGAGACATCTTCACACACAGCTATCCAAGATGCGTGGGCAAGAGGATGCATCCACTATTCAACAAATAATGCGATTCCCTTTTTGTTCACCTGCATTCACACCCCTGATGCATTCCAAGTGTGATCTGAACTGAGTGGCAATAGGGATATGTTTTAAGAATCTGTTTTACTGGCATAATGGTACCTTTAAGTAATTGGACCAACTCATTATAACAATGCAAATTACTTTTCCTGGAACAAATTTGTGTATGAGGATACATGAAAATAATTTAAAGATTTTCCATGCAAAAGATAATGAAACTTCACTTTCAAAACAATTCTTTTACAAAAATTGTCTTAACAGGATTCAGTCTTTCACTCACTGCTTTATGGACACTCAATCATCTTGGAGAAAGCTGCATACAACACTCTATCCATGAAAATTACTACATATATTTCCCACATAACAGTGGCTCCTTGTGGGAACCATAATATTTGAAAACAGTTCACCTTATGCATTATTTCAACCTCATGGTCCAATTGCCATGATTCACATAGGAAATGGTTTTCTGTAACATCTAGGCCTAGTATCATTTATATTTTCTAACTTATATGCAGCATTCTCATTTGTGGTGTGAAGCAGATATAGGCTTATTTATTATATTACCAAAATTTTAATTTTATATGTTTGCTTTATTCAGTATTTTGTCTTACAATTTGTGCCTTGCCTGCAAAGTCTTATATTATTTTACCAAATCTTAATTTATTGTGATTGTAAAATCCCTAATATAGATCATAAGCAGTAGACTGATATCATCTCTATGTCAAGAAAAGGATGCAGACATATGAGATTTGATTTCTGAATATATGTGTATTCCTAGAACCTTCTCGCTGCCTGGTTATAAAGAAAAGAGTGCGGAGGTAAACAGTTATAGTGCCCAAACTGAAATGCAGTTTGTCTTCCTTTATTAAAAGATCAGCCCAGGATAGTTCAGAATTGATATATACATCTGGTCAAAGAACAGCAATCTTTGAGCCATTATTGTAATACACAGCTTTACTTTCTCTAGTTCAATATGAATATTCATATTAAAGCTGGTACTCAGAGAAGTATTTATAACATAATTACTGGAATGAATAAGAAAAGGATCTTTGTAGAGACAGCAGAGGGGGATAGGGAAAAAGAACTTCCCTGTCAAAATGTTATTATATGTTTACCAAAATCTGACAAAATTGCTATTTTAAAGCAACAGAAGGTAGAACACTTGCAAAATAAATAATCAAGGGATGTAATGCAGCATAGTTTAACAGTACAGGCAGGGGAAAAGCAGAAACATTAAGAGCCACCTTCTCCAATCTCTTTCTTCTCAGATGTCTTGACTATAACCCTCATACTGTCTGGGAATGATGGCAGCTATAGTTTCAATACATCTGGAAGGCAGGAAATTGAGGAAGGGAGCAGTAAGGATGATTCTGTCAGGCCACTAATCAGATTAACTCCTCTAAATGGCAGAAGAATCAAGTACATAAATGTAAGTAGCAAAACTGTATAACCTCAATATACATAATTCAAATCTCTGTATCATTAGAATATCGACAAACAAACCTCATTGGTCTTCTCAGGGGTCCCCTTTGGCATCTCATCCTCATGTTTGGGTGAGGAAGAGGCAGGTGAGGAAGGCAGCCTTCTATCCCGGTCTCTGTGCACAAGCTTGCTATTAGGTTCCTTCAGAGTCCGCTTCAACTCATTAATGCTGGCCTGGTGCTTTAGCAAAACATCTTCCGGTTTGTCTAAAAACTTTTGGAGGGAGAGGGGAAGGTAACTACTAAGGTGAGGGTTAGAGGAAGGAACATGAGTAGAATGAGGGATGCTTTGTGAGGTGGAAGCTTTAGCATGTTTAGAACTGGAGGCCTTATTGCCTAGAAAGTGAAGTCTCCACAGTCGTAGAGAACTTAAATCATTCAGCCACAGTTTTAGGACTGGCTTCCACAACAGTGCCGCCATCCAAATGAGTTAGACTATAGTTCCCATCAACCCTCAACCAAGGAGGAATGGAGTTGATTAAGGTTGTCATCCATTCCATTGGGAGGTGAGAAGGTTGGAAAAGACTGGCTTAGAAAGATAGGAACTATTGAAATGCAGGTCTTATCCTTTTGACTCTTCAGGCCACCTCTTGAGAGTTATAAACACTTCTACTATTCTTTCTTATCTGGAGACAAGTGACCCTACAGAGTCTCTGAAGTCTGGAGACCATAATTCCAGAGCTAGCAACTCATGAGCCAGGAGACAAACCTAGGCAAATGTGTTCTTAACCAGTGTTTACTGTCTCCTATGGTGGTTTGTAACTAGATTTCTGCAGGACACTGACTGTGAATGAAAAAACAAAATGTTCAAATTGGGCCAAAGTAAACTGCAAAAAGAGATAAAGACTTCCAAACAAAGGATCCATGTTTGCTGGGTATAAAGTTGGGTTCAGGACCAGCACTAAGAAAAACTAATCCCATTTCATAAAAGGTTTTCCTGTGGCAAAGTGAAGCTTCACTTTCTTGGACAGTGCAAACTGATTCAAAGACAGGAAATATTTATGCCCAATTCATGTAATAATTCCCATCCATTTTTGCCTAATTCCCCTCACTCTAGAGCAGTTTCCCAAACTTATAAAAGCTGGAGCACTCTTCTTTATGATGTTAAAATTGGAGATTCTGCAAGTTTGCAATATCATACAGTATTTCAAGTTTAATATTTAAATGTTAAGGAAAAATAATTATTTGTCTGCATAGGAGTGCACTCTGTGCCGCTCTGCTCAAGTCACTATTTCAGATGCAATTCCCATCTGGAAGGAAGCAAGACAAAGTACTGGCACACACAGATGCAACAGACAGACCCTCTGGAGAGTGACCTTGCGCTCTATGAAAATGAATACACAACAACCAGTGTAAAAATCCAGCCAAATTATTTCATAATATTAAAAGGAAACAAAGTCAGAGTAGCAATGCAGAAAGGCAGTGGACAGTCTCCTCAAGTGGGGAATATTTAAATATACTTTTACAGTATACTCCTATATGTATTTACTTAGAAGTTAGTCCCCTTGGGATCCATGAGGTTTATTCGTAGCTGAATGATTATACAATTATAATTTATCTCCTTATGACAGACTTGCAGTTTTATAACATACTATACCACACATTTTGGGAATAACTTCACAAGAGGTTAGGAAACAAGGAAGCACATCTCTGAAACAGTTTGCCCATTGCCCCTTCACATAATGCTGATGATGTAAATAAGGATCAGACAGGGTTGCAATAAAGGACATGCAGAATTACTGGATGATGAGAAAACATGGAGGGAATAGCCGGCACTGAAGTTCAGGTGCTTGGAGAATATCTATATGCCAGAAGTCTGTGGAACAGCCATACTAATAATGACAATTAGACATCCAGCATAGTAAACTCAGTATGTAGCTAAAAGTACTTCATTTTGATTGTAGCTTGAATTGTGTTATTACTCAAATTTGCTAAAATAAAAATAAAAACTCTCACATGTAATTCAAAGGAATTTAAACCAGTACCAATTCTGCGGTGAAAACAAACAAAAAATTCCCAAGCTAAACAGCTTTGATCTGCTAGGTGGGAGTCATCTGCAGGTCATAATCTTTGTGGGAAGTTATACACTTGTTTATAGCTGTATGGAAGATATTGTGAACAAATTTGGGATAAGACAGTGCTCTTATTCTCAAATAACCTAACAATTATATTCATAGCCTCATAAGTTCATTAAAAAAAAGGAAGCAAACAATAAAGACGACTTTTTGATATTGCTTTACATATCTTGGCACTTTAGCCAATGACTAAGTCTAAATCCCAATTTTAGTTCTGGCTTAAATTTTTTAATGTTCTGACCTGCAATTCATTTATGTAAATTTGCACCAAGGCTATGTCTGCATCTTCAATAAATACCTCCTTCCTGAAAATATCAGGGCCGGAAAAAGAAAGGAATAGGGATAATGGAATGCTATGAAAGAGCAGAAGAGTCAGTTGGATGACAAAATAGTTATGATTTCCTAGCAAGCAAGTAGCTGAGGTACTCTAGCTTCTTGCTCACACGAACAAGATGAAGGGAAAATACTGACTTAATGGGGTAAAAGACGCAGTCTGTATACCAAGGGGAAGATTCCCCCATTTCCACCCTGAGCTGCATCTTGCATCCCACTAGAAAGGGGCACATACAATGTTGTTGGTATTTCTTAAAAGAATGAACTCTAGGGATGCACTGATGAAAAACTAAAACATTCCAGAGAATACCTCCTGCTTGTGCCTTGGGGTGGTTTCTTGTTCCGGCTGGTAGCAAAAAAAGGTGGGAGGGAGGGTAAGTCAGTTAAGGGAACTCCTATAACAAGCTACAATCTTGCCACAATTTGAATTCAGGTATCAAGAAAATGATAAATATTTGATGTCACCATTTTTCTAGGTGTAGGAAACAATTGGCATTGTATTCATCTACTAATGGATAAGAATATGGTAATAGGAACATTTGCAAGGTGAACAAAGCGGGTTCCACACTTTGAACGGAAGGGTGGATTTTTAAAAATTAATTAATTAGCTCCCCTAATTTTCTGGCAATTTAGAGTTGAAATCCAACACATCTAAAGGGCATCAAATTGGGGCATGCCAGTACCTATTATAAGCCAAGTCCAGAGATGTGGAGACAGTAGAGGCCAAGTAGGCCTCATCCATTGTCTGGGGGAAACAGCTTGATTTGCAATATGCTTTTTGAATGAAGTCTGCCAGCACACATACAAAAAAAGTCATTTCTTAATTAACATTTTGCAAAAGGAGGAGGGTAGGACTGTGGCAGCTCAAGAAGACACATTTGCAATGATTCAGCACATACATGGGTGCAAATGTGTTCATACGTCTGTAGATTCTGCTTATTCCTGACATTGTCAAAGACAGTGGTTCCAGACAAGAATAGGATGAACATCCAGCTACAGGTTAGATATTGAAGCAACAGGACATCAGAGGAACCCTACTTCACAGAAGGGGCAATACTGCCTTTTCCAGAAAGGCCTCTTGGGAAGATACATGGGAAATCTTGACACAGAAACTCTGTCTTGATAAAAAAGCTTCCATGATTGCCAGAATATCTGCGTGTAGCAGTGCAGGGCTTTTGCTTATTCTTCTGGGTACTGTGAGGAAAACCAGCAAAACTCAGCTTTACTGGATTCCTATCTCTGACAGTGGAGAAACTATGCTCCTAAAACTGTTACTGACACACTGGATGTTTCCTGTGTCATATCATGGAATGCATCTTGTGAGATTTAAGGATGACTGGCTCCCCAGGGAATAAGATTCCAAAGTTAATAGCAGTTTAACAATGGAAGTTAGACTTTGGGAATTCAAAATGGAGGCTCTAGGTTTCAAGACAAACTTTTGCTGAATGGTATAATTACAAGTGCACAATAACTGCCAGTGGGAGCTTTCCTGTTATAAGACTGAGAAGTATTCTAATAAATACAAAGTTGTAAGGATAGAAATTAATAATATTACCATTGCTTTGCATAGTATTTTTTCGTATCTCCTAGAAGGAAGCTATGATGTTGCATTTCAAGTGTAGAATCCTCCCTCCAAATGCAGATTAAGTACAATGTACGTGTTGTACCTTTAACTCCTTGATTTTTGTTGGAGTAGTCACTTCTTCATCTTCAGATCTTGTCCTCCCACCATACCTATCATCTTCTCTCTTGTCTGACTCTGCTCCATCATGATTCTCACTGACTGAAGCTGGGCGGGAGAATTCTGCACAGGAGAGACAGAGAAAGAGGGAGAGAGAGAGGAGCCCTATTTTGTCCCATTGACTCTAGCTGAAAAGAAGAAAAGATGTATTTCCAATACCTTACTGTAAATGCTTCTAAGACTAAAGATTCTGTGTTCAAGAGTTCAAAAGCTCTTTTTTGGAACATACCTTAGAGTTACATGACATACAATGCCATAAAATCAACCTCTGTCAAATTTTAGTTTGAACCTTGTCTTTTATTCCTTAGATTCCTTAGGACTGAATTCCTTGATAATCCTAAAATGTTTCTATTTATCTACCTGTTGCCTAGCATTTTGTGTAACAATTGGCTTGGATGCTATTTAAATCATTCAGACGGGAGTGCTTTACATATGATGGACAGAAGGGAGAAGTATTGCCTACTTCCTGTATTTCAGACCTACAAAACACATATATCCCTTGGGTTCTATGAATATAACTGTTCACTATAAGAAGAGTGTATTGCAAAAGACAATTCCATTTATTATGAATAAGACTCATTTTGTGTAACAATTGGCTTGGATGCTATTGAAATCATTCAGACGGGAGTGCTTTACATATGATGGACAGAAGGGAGAAGTATTGCCTACTTCCTGTATTTCAGACCTACAAAACACATATATCCCTTGGGTTCTATGAATATAACTGTTCACTATAAGAAGAGTGTATTGCAAAAGACAATTCCATTTATTATGAATAAGACTCACTACTCCAGATCGGTAATGTTATTTCAGATATAATAAAAATGTCCACAATAAATGCTCTTTATTTTTTTGCTGTTGAAGTTGAAATACATCCACAAATAAGCCTTTAAATCTTTTGAGGATGTTGGCGTCTCCAAGCTCCAGAAATCTGAAATCCGCCTTTAGTTGATTTCTCAGTGTAAGAGAACAATGCAACAATGTATGCCACCCAGAGTCACTCTCTTGTGAGATGAGTGGCTATACAAGTCTGATCAATCAATCAATCAAGAAAAACATACAGGAGTACATCCAATCCCCAAGAGGAGGAAACTGGTAAGCCTGGAGAAAGAGGGGCAACAAGGGTTTCTTATGCCTCTTTTCATGCCTTGGCAGCATAGAAAAGACAGTGTCCCACAATGCCTATTTTAGTATTGCCCACCAAGGATAATGATGTCACCTGTGTGCAGCATCGGATGCTGCACTTGTGACTCTGCCACAGCTATACAAAGGGATAGAGGGAATGGAGACCATTTGGAGTACAGCTTCCATCTCAGGGCAGTTTTATGCTCTTCCCTTGCTTTCAGATTTGTTGTTCTTTTCTAAAGAAAAGAAGCTGGAGTTGCTTTAGATAATGCAATTTATAGAGAGGAAAACTTCCCAACTATTTATAGAAAGGCGGCTTTCCCTGTCTAGAAAGTTGTGAATAGAATTGTATCAGTCAGGAGAGTGGGAAAAAAATGGCCTTACAGCTTCTCTCTACAGTGCTCTTTATTTAAAGAGATGTGAGCTTCAACATCGGCCACATAATGAAAAACCTATGCTGATCAGAAGTGAAACTATATCTAGTAGCTGCTCTGTATCATCTCTTGCAAGTGATGTCTAATCATTGCTGGCAGGCTGGCTGCCCAAAAGAGAACCCATCCTTTAATCAATATCCTCAGCCTTTTTCTAGCTACAGTCAAAGAGAGGGTATGTGTGTCAGTTAAGTGTATTGGGGGTATGGAGCAACTCCTAAAGGAGCTAATTTCTGAAGCCTGGAAACTATTTGTTAACATCAATTGCCTTCAAGAAAATGTGCTGGCAAAGGAGGACAGGTCTCAGTCAGAGAATTAATTATGGATAAGCTGTAGCCTGACACTGCATCCATCTCTGCAGGAAAAGCAACACTCCAGAATTGCTACCACCACGTCTTCCTCTATATAATACGTAATTTACCATTGCCACGTAGACTCCATGTTGGAGTCAGGCAACCTATAAATCTAATAAATAAGTAAACAATTAAATAAATTTCATGCATTCACATTCATACACACATTTGCTCTGCTTCACCAGTAAGAATGCAGAATTTTTAATATCTGAAATAGAATTCTTCTATAAAGCAGTAGTCTGTGTTAATATTTGTTAATTAATTAATTAATTAGATTTATAATCTTACACATTAAATTGCCTCCTATAGTTTTGGCCCTCTGGAAACTACTGAAAACAGAGTTGTTTCAGAGGGCCTACTGTGATGCAAGATGTCTAGGATGGATATCTGTACCATGAATCATACATTTTATGATTCCACAATTTTGTAATTTTAATTTTTATGGTGGATGTTTTATCTTTTATGTTTAATGAAACATAAATTCATCTACCGTAAAAAGTTAAAATTAAAAATTGCAGAATACAATTGCAGAAATACCAAGAGTCTTGAGATTGTGGTGGGTAGTAACATGAATTAATAAAAATAATTGTTTATATCTTGCTTTTCCTCCAGGAGCTCGAAGTGGTATTCATAGCATTCCTTCAATTTTTCCCCATAACAATCATCCTGTAAAGTAGGTTGGGCTGAGACTGTATGAGTGGCTCAAGGTTACCCAGCAAGTTTCCACAGCTCAGGGAGGACTTGAGCTAAGGTCTCCCTAATACTAGTCCAACACCTTAGCCATTACACCATGCTGGCTCTCTGGTAGCTGCTCCTAAGTGTCATCTCTTGATTAGAAAATTAGATTCTTTTTATCCCGTTGTATTGGCTTATCCCACTATATAAAAGTAAAAACTCTCTTGAGTTGAGCTCAGTTTTAGGTGAATTCATAGACACTTCTATGTAGCTTTCCTGTCAACAATATAAATTTAAATAAATAAATAGGGGAATGTTTAGCCATTGCCTTCTTCCAAGATATTTTTCTGGCTTTCCTGTCTAGCCTACAGTCCTAAGATTTCTTAGTGAATTTCCATCCAAGTACCAAGTAGGTTCAATCTTCCTTGGCCAAAATAAGCAAGGTCTACTAGGTAGTGCCACCTGCAATCCACTCATGTTTCACCTGTAGATCAAGTGAAGAATCCTTCCATAGCAACTCTGCAGAAAAATGTTCTACAGCTCACCAGCAAAAACTAATGTTGTGGTGCTAGACCTCAGCCCCCCACCTCCAAATATGTGGCTTCATCCTTTGAACAAAAGCTTTCCCATGCCCACCAGTGAACCAATCTCCCTCCCCCTCCCCAATTTGGGGCATACCTCCATCGAGGCTGCGAGACATGGTGTACCGTTTGCTGGAGGAGCGTTCAAAGTAAGGGGCAGGACGATCAATCAAAGCACTGGCTTGTCGAGTTTGAGCCTGTGTTCGCCCACTATAGCGGAATTTGGAGCCCATTACTAGGAAGCCTTTTGGAGGAGGCTCAGGTGACACCAGCCTGCAGAAAGAAAAGAAAACTGTAACAGGTAAGGATCCCTAACCTTTAAGGTTGTAAGATACATTTGGAATTTTCAGAGTGTGTTGTAGGTGCTCTCACCAAACAGTTGCCAGGAGGATGGGCTTGCCTGTGGCTAAAATAGTGGATATGGTCAATCACAAATACTCATTTTCCAGAAGACAAACTGATAGGCTCTTAAGGAACATACAAAATTCCCCCAATGTTTCTTTACTATCTGTTAAACCACAGTTTTCATGGAAGAATTTCACCGTACCTTTTACTCCCTATGAAAACTGGCTACTACTTTCTTCTTTTCTGAGGGTAGTGGGACACAGTTCAAGACCAAGCAGTAGGTCACATCTAGTTACCTACTGTTCTGATGACCTAAGAGATATTATAGGAAATAATGAAAGCGCAGAAGATTGGCACTTCACTTTGAAGCATGACAACACCTGATTTACATAATAATAATTTTAAATAATCAAGGGGAAAAAAGGGAAAGGCAGAGACCCATGTGGGGATTGAGAGGTGCCCATTGGTATACCATATCTATGCACATCAGGTTGAGAATCCAACAGCCCAATGCAAAGATCAGCATTGCTATATTCCATTTGGAAATGGCATCAGGATTAAAACAACAAATTCCATCAAATGATTAAAGCTGGAGCTGGTCTGTAATCAATTCCTAAGTGCTATGACTACAATTTTTTTTTTAAAAAAAGAACAACTCAATAAATATTAGCATTATTTTATGGTGATATTTTATTTAGCATTAAGTCATATAATTGTAAGTCTATTTTTCCCGGACAACTGCCATTAAGTGAATTACGTGGTCTCATACGTATTCTAGAACTAAGCCTCTCAAGATAATTCAATATTCTCAAGTGAGTTAAATAAGTTCTATCTATCACCCATGGTGATTTTTAGGGACCGTGACTTTTTTTTTCAGTGTGGCATTTCGAGTTTCCAATTAGTCTTTGAAGCCGTGATTTTAATGTATCTGTGTTTCATTCTGCCTTGCAAAGATTTGAGCCCCTTCTGAGCAGACTGAGTTTGTGTTCCAAAGTGCAGGGAAGAGAAACATTGCTTTTAAATGGTCCAGGATGTTGGAAAAAAAGCTGTAAACTTTTCCTGTGGGATCATTTGTATGCATATGCAAAATTATAGATAACAGACCCTATTCTGATTTTTAATTTCTCTGAGAATCTGTGGCCAAAAAATATGCAACACTGAAAATTCCCACCATCCCGTAAAAAGGAATTTTTATCTACAGTATCCAAGCATAACACCTGCACGTTCAGGCAAACTTATGAAACAGCAGGAACACTTATTTCAAACTGAACAAACTGTTTTCAGAATCAGAAGTCTATCAAGAGGATAGTAACAAAGACTATTTCAGAAAAAGAAATTGCTGGAGTAGAAATAGCTCAGAAAATGAGACTGAATATTTAAGGCCCCAACTTTTACGCAAGATGTCTTTACTTTTTTCCCTTTTTCTTCAGCTCTTTTTCTAAAACTGTGAACATGTGGAGAACACTAAGGCCAAAATACATAACTCTTGTTTTATTGTCATGTTGATGGAGTCTTCTGTTTTCAACTTTATTTTTTGCCAATTCATCAAATTGACAAAATAATAATAATGTAGAGTTCTACAATTTAGTTGCAGTTGTAGAAAATCAAAGTATTCAATTAATAAACGTAAATAATGTCTAAGTTATACATTTAACAAGTATACCAAACAATTGTATGAGCCAAGCAAATCATGGATAATGCACAGATACTGCTCCTTCCTAAAGTAGCAAACTAGACTTAGATCAGTAAAGGGTGTCTGAAAACAAATAGTTTACACTCATTTTTCCCAAATGCCTTTTTTTTTTCCTGGAAAGGGATGTGGAATAAAGGCCACGCTTGCACACAGGTCTTATTTCAACCCATTGTATTGGTTTTGTATGCAGACATCTGCTGACATAGCTCTTTGGGGAAGATAAATTTGCATCGCTATAAATATATCCACTGTTTATAGGCTGTGCTAATATGACAGCATCTGCTTCCAAACATCTGTTATTTTATCAACACAAACATGGAATTTGTATAAAACCCTGGAGAAAGTTTTAAAAATTAGGTTCAAAATCCTTACAACTAATCTATATGGCAAGCAGGATCATGGCACATTGTGGAATAGAGATTGATTGATCATGTGCCATCATGTTGTTTTCGACTTCTAGCAACCACACAGATAGATTTTCTCCAAGACGTGCAATAAAGAAATGCAGAGTAAAGTCTCCTTCATAGATACAGTACATCCATGTAGGGTTTTTCAGCAAAAACACAGAAATAGTTTATCACCTTCTTCTAGGATGTTTTTTCAACTTCCCAGTCTAGCTGACAGCCCTGGTATTTACTGAAGATCTTCCATCTGAGTACTAATGTGACCTGACCCTGCTTAGTTATTGAGTCAAGTTAATGCCAGCCAGGTACTACCACCTGCTGAAACAGAACAATAGACCTGAAAAGTAAAAGATGTATTTATGACAGACAAGGCCCCAAGCCATACTTAAGTCTACATATGAATGAGGGGAATAACTGTACTATTTTGCCATATTGCTCGAGATAACTAAGTTTAACTCTTGGCTAGGAGAACTTTATTAAGTTCAAATCTAGTCCAATTGTGCAGTCATTCAAAACTTCGTTTGCAGCTCCCACCATACAGGTAGTACTCGACTTACAACCATTCAAAGTTATGATGGCGCTGAAAAAAGTTACTTATGACCGGTCCTTGCACTTATGACTGTCATAGCATCCCCATGGTAACGTGATCAAAATTTGGGTGCTTGGCAATCGACATGTATTTACAAAGGTCGCAGCATCCCAGAGTCACGTGATTGTTGTTTGTGACCTTCCCAAGGGGCTTCCGACAAGCAAAGTCAATGGAGGAAGCCGGATGAGCTTAATGACTGCGTGATTTGCTTAATAACTATGGTGATTCGCTTAACGACTGTGGAACAAAAGGTAATAAAATTGAGTGCAACTCACTTAATGACCATATCACTTAGCAACAGAGGTTCTGGTCCCAATTGTGGTTGTAAGTCAAGGACTACCTATATCTTTAAAAGTTTGCCGCCCAATTATAACATTTATGTGATAGAATAGAAAAATTACTAAATACGTTGCAATGCTGAAAATATTTTCTCAGTGGGAGTGTCCATCTGCTCAAAGGTGGCAGTGACAACCTGAAGAGGCCCAACCTTGGTGTTCCAGAAGATTTTAGGCACCTAGGTATTGATGGTAAGTGGCAATGGGAGCAGAACTGGGCTGGTGGCAGAGTTGGAAGCTGGCTTATGTATTGTGGGGGACACAAAGTGTGTTGCCCTGAGCAGCAGCCATCTTGCTCTCCTACACATGGCAATAGTATGGTTCGAGCAAGGAATATATGCCATTTATTTCACCTTTCGTCTGAGGACACTTTGGTGTAGCAACTTGAGGACTTGGAATCACGAAAGACAGGACTTTCCATCCGTGTTTGGAGTGGATGGTGCTGGATGAGCATGTGGACTGGAGTCTATGGAGAGGGAGGCTGCCATGCTCCCCACAAATGGCTGCCAGAGAAGGTGGTGTGGTGACTGGTTGTGAGGTTATATGATCTGGCCCCTTGCAGCCCTGGTGAGAGAGGTGAGGATAGGGAGTGTGGTGCGGTCGGGGAGCTGAGAGGGCAACCACCAGCCAAACGCACTAAACTAGGGTAAAATGGCATTGAACAGTTTATGGTTTATCAGCAATTACTTTAATATGCTGTGTGAATTAGGGTATCCCATTAATCCAGACAGTTATTTGTTTGGGAACTGCTTATTCTCTGAATATAGCAGTTGGGTTTTGTTAGAATGGGGTTAGGTTAAGTGTGTTATGTGAGCCCAACTACTAAGTCTGGAAAACAGGAAGTTGGCTATATTGAGGGATGGCTCCTGTTGGAGTATAGTATAAGGCTATTCTTTACTAATGCAGAGCTAGACAGATTTCTGTCTCCTGTAGATGGAGAGAGATAGACATACACACACAATCTAGATTTCTTAGGCCACAATCAGTTACCTCTTTTACTTCATATCAAATAATCTTCACAAATTCAAATCTTGTTAAACATATGCTATTGTTATTAATATCTGTCAATGCTAAAACTCTGTTCTACCATAGTTCATCTAACCTCTGCTTGGGTAATGATTATCTATCAGTTACATTCCAGATCTTTATTTCTTCTGCTCTGTATTCTTAAAGATTCTAGTTGATGTTAGGACTTTGCTTGTAACTTTTAACACCTGACTGCTAGATCTTGCATTACTATATGGCCAGATCAATGGCTCTTGCCAGCTAGAGACTAAATCCTCTCTCTGCAGTTTTATCAAATCTCAGCGCAAGTTAAGTTCTGAGTGTCTTTTCTCTGTATTGCTATATTGAGCTAGAACATACAGTAAAGTTTTCTCCCTCAAGTGCTCTCGCTCTGTCTGTCTGTCATGTATCTACTTTCTCTGCACCCTGCTTACAACCTGCTGCCTAGGAAGATGAAGCTTTGACTTTGTGTTCATGTCCATTTGCAAAAAATAGAAGAAACGCTACACAGAATGGAAGACTTCCTTGTGTGTGTCAAAATCTGCTTTTCACTGACTGTTAAAGGGGAAAAGCTGTCATAATTAATCTACAGAACATTGGTTCCTCAGAACAGAAAGCTATTTTAGATGATGTTATCTGCAAAGTGTACAGGCCAGGAGAACTTCAAAAAATCATCCCTCAAAGCCTTATCTCCTTTCAGAGAGTTCAGTTGTCTCTGACAAGTATTCCACCCAGCAGAGATGGAGCAAATGATGTTGGGGGACAACTGTTTCAGAACTAGTAGCTTGTAGGACCTACTGGTCAGCTTCCAAATGAATCCCAAACTGTACACTGGCACATTTACCTACATTAGTTTTGCTAACTACAAGGAAAGACAGAAATATACTGAACTGTTAAATATTTTTCTGCCTTCTGGATGTCCTGGTAAGCCCACATCCTGCTTCTATACATATGAAAACATAAGAACCACATATTATCTCTGTCATAATAAAGCAAATAACTGCTACATTTTGAGTTGTACATTCACAGGAACATAAAGAAAATATGGTGGAAACACGCACCCCACTTGCAAATCCTCAGGTTAACATTCTACTGGGTGACTTACCTATAGCAGGGATTCTATTTTATAGGTTACTTAGCTTAATTAATGGTTCAATAGTTTAATAGTTAATAATAGCTTAATAGCTTAATAGTTCAATCCTACTCATAAATTTATTTAAGTTTCCAAGAGGCTGCACTACTTTTATCTCACATATTTTGACACTGTGTAGATCATTTTTACTGTATTGTGATCTTTGCAAGAGTTGTCAGCAGGATAGAATATGTCCTTTTTAAAAATATTTTAAAAATATTTTAATATTTCTAAATATATTAACATTTTACTCTGATAAAAATCCTAAAATTATAGTAGTGACAGCCAAATTTTTAACTATAGTTATAAAAGCAAAGTTTTAGTAATAAATATGTTAGAGTTTTAAAAATATTTTATGTAAAGTCCATCCATCTATTTTATGTGTCAAATTGTTTTTTCTTATGCCAAACCTTTTGATTACATCTGTAGTTTGCCATTAGGGTCTTTTGGCCATAATAAACACTATGTTACATTTTACCTCATTTCATGTTCACAGTAAAGCTATGAAGCAGGTGAACTGTAAGAAAGCGAGCTGCATAGTGCTATCCAGTGGACTTCACCACTGCTTTCTCTGTTGGTTAGATTTATATTCCACCTTTTCTCCAGGAGCTCAAAGGAGCTTATATGGGAATCTAATACAGGGATGACCTAGGAAGGATCTGAAGTCCCACACACACATTTCTCAATCTTATTTATAGCACTTCATTGTAGAGTTTCTCTTTCTTAATTTTCCTTTTTCTCACCTGAAGAAAGTGTGATGTTCAATGCAAACCTTCCACAATCTCTTGGCTGAGCGATGGTTGGGCAGCTTGAAACCAATGGTGCTCTCAAACTGCTCATACTGAAAATACGGGGGGGGGGGGGGAAAAGACAAA